AAGAAGGGGAACTTCATGAGGATGATTATGACCGCCGTTTGCAATTTTGCGAAATAATGAATGAGCGAGAATGAACGATCTGTTTTAACATCTGTTTTTCTGATGAATGCAGATTTTTCTTGAATGGGACGGCAAATCGTCACAATTGCTGCTATTGGTCCGATTCAAACCCAAGAGTTTTTCACGAGGTGCATACACAGCAACCGGAAAAATTAAATGTATGGGCTGGAATTTTCGATGACCGGTTGGTGGGTCCTTTTTGCTACCTGGTAATTTGATTGGCCAAATGTATTTGCAATTACTGGAAGACGCTATTGACACTGCCTTGACTGATATTATTGAAAATGTTCCAGAGTATGATAAAGATCATTTGATTTTTCAACAGGACGGTGCTCCTCCGCATTATGCGTTAATTGTTCGTCAGTATTTGGACCGACGATTTCTACAGAATTGGATTGAGAGAAGAGGCAGCATTGAGTGGCCTCCACGATAACCGGATTTATCGCCCCTTGATTTCTTTTTGTGGGGATACCTAAAAAGTAAAATCTATAAAACACAGCCAGCGTCGCTGGAAGATTTGCGTCAAAGAATCGTCGACGAATGCCGTCGAATCACTCCGGAAATGCTTCGGAATGTACGCGAACGTTTCGAACAAAATCTTTATTTTTGTATTGTAGCGGGCGGTCATCAGTTTGAACATTTAATCAACTAAGTAGTAAGTAAGCCACTGAACATAATTTAAATTTTAAACTAAATTTTTTTCAAAGATTTGGGCGGAATTATAAAATTTAAAGTCTGTTGTAAAGAGAATTGTAAGAGCTTTCAAAAGAAATATTACTCAACCCCCAATGCCATTTAAATATTTTGGGGTGATGAGGTGACCCCTTGCTTGGCGGAGTCAAAAATACGAGCAAAGGATGTCCCCCTTTAATTTAAAATCAACGGGTCTGAGCGTTTTTCTACAATCTTGACGCAGTTCTTGAAAATGGTTCTGTTTCGTTTTCATTTGGCCACCCTGTATATGATAATATCGGTTTTTAATAGGGGTCTATTTCATTTATTTCGATAGTAAATAATCTCGTTGTAGATTGGGTGCAAATCATAGAAGAACACATTGTGTATATTCCCGAGCAACTTTGTTAAAAACTTACAAAAAATTTCGTAACTATATCCATCACTTTTGCTTGTCTTATTTTAATTAGAATTAAAAATTGTTTTACAATCTACAGCCGAAGCACCTTTATGGAATTCTCGAACGCTTCGTAGCTACGATTACATTAAAATTTTGTTGTCTTTTTATAAACCAAGCTAAATTTTTTCGTATACCGTGTCATTAATTTTGTCCTGGAATACAAAACAGCGACATCACAAAGCTAACGTGACAACAAAAGATATCCGTTAAAATAAATGTTCATTCCTGTAATGTTTTTTTTTTTTAGTTTTCAACGAAGTGTGAACTTTTGATATTCTTAACAAACGTGTCACTTGAGAAGTATAATGTAGGAAACATATTTATTAATGTATTATGGCTAGAATTCCGTATAGATTTTGCCAAAGTATATATTTTATTTCTTATTACACGTCAAGGATGAAATCTCTAATAGAATTACATTTGAGCAGCGACTTGATGAAATCGGATTAAGGACTTTACTCTCCCACTTAAAATAGAATGGGAACTACTGAAAGTACTGAAAATTAAATAAAAGAGCCCTAGAAACTGATCTATTCACTGGCTTTTAGCCGTTTTCATAATTTAAAAGATGAAACTGTCAGTGGATATTTATAAGACCTTTGAAACTAGCAAAGTTAGAATCTCAGAAACAAGTCGGGTGATAAAAGAATATAAATTACAAGTTTGGGATTTCTAGAAATTTACAGGACATCGCCTTAAAAACTCATTTAACTTTTGGCAGCATTTAGTCCACCTGAAAACCTGAAAATAATTGTTTCAGTTATCATTTGCTAACTTCAAGCGGGAGTAGTTCGTACTTTTTGTACCAAAACTTTGTATATTTGTCCTAATAGGACTACAATCGTAATTGAAATGCTGTATGAATTCAATCAATAAATAACCTAATTACTTTTTTTTATCATGTTTCGTAGAAATGTCCAAAATGATACTCAAAGTAACACAGGCCATTTAATATTCTTTTAACTTCATTAGCTAAAAGCATTTATTGTCCAACAGAACAAATATTCCAATTACAGGACAAAAAAGTATAGACATTCAAGTATGAACATTAAAAATATAAAAAATCATAATTCTAAATAAAAAATTATGTAATATATGTATATATTTTAGGCAAATAATTAAAAAAAATGGGAATCTTCAAAAGGAGGGCAAAAAATACTTTCATTTTGCAAGCTTTTTTTTCACGCTCACTGAATACCAACAATAATAATAGGCCTTTACCTCAGTGGTCACAAAATTTCTCGTGATATTTCCGTACAAATCCACAAAACGTACATGAAGTGAATTAAATGTAACTCCAATGAATGTCCAGGGATTTTATTGTCAAGTTGTGGAAAATATAAATCATTTATTACTACATGTCATAATTTCAGTCATTGTAGAACGTCGGAATCATATCAGATATAAATAACTATCGATACGCGTGTACCGAGGTTTTATTGTGTGTGGGTGTTTACGAATGAAATCGGTTCTAAATCGGTGATACGAGTAAATACCTATAGTGGTGAAAAAGTACTCTGCTATTATACAGGATGATTCATAAATGGTGACCAAAAATGAAACCTCGTTTTCTTTGGACAATTTTTAAGTTTTTACATGATTACATTACATTTGAAATTGGGTACATGCATTTATGTAAACATTGTGCAAAATCTGAGGGCTTTTCCTGACATTTACATGCTCCAGTGGCGCAGATACAGGGGATCGGTTACTTATTTTTATAAATAAAATAGTGCGTCACTGCTTTACATTAACAGTCACGACATTTTCGGATTTGTCTTTCAATTTTCTACAAATCTCTTATGTTTTTCGAAAAAAGCCTGATTTTCGAGTAAAACTTAAAAAAACAACTGAAAACATTTGTATTTAAATGACATGACAAACACTAATCAATCGGTTATTTATTCGAACAAAGAAATTAATAACATTAGTCATCATTTTAATGATTTTATTTGAGTAAATATTCAAAAATACCGCAAATTTAATCAGATTCAAGCAATAATAAACTTCAAACAATGAACATTTTCGTTACTAAAAAGATTGCACTGTTCGTGCAAATGGAGATCATTCTAGTGAAACACCCTGTAGAAACCCTGCTTAACACTGATTACACAGCTCCACGTAAAGAAAATCAATATGTGATAGGCTGGACCGCCACATCCATAGGTTTTTTGGGGTAGCAGAATTCGAATCCTGTCCGTTTGTCGAAGTTAGCTCCGAATCAAAGTTATTTGAAGGTCAATTCTTGTTTTTTTGATGGTAACACAATTTCTTTCCTTGATTCTGAAGGAACGAGAAGTTTTACGTTCGAATACGTGGTTGGTTTATTTTTTTTATGGTCAATTTTATTGAAGATCAACTCTTATTTTTTGATGATGACACTTCCCCGAAAGGGCATGGACCCTATTCAGAGGTGTTACCTTCAAAAAACACGAGTTAACCTTGAAATAACCTTGAACATGACTTTCAGGGTTAAATCCAAGGTCACCAGGTGATGGTTCCCATTGATCCAAACAACTCTAATATAGGTAATTTTTTCGATATGCCCTGAGAACTTCGAGAGGGAGATTTGACATTCAGATGACCTTGAAAATTAAAAATAACTCAGCCACGTCTCTAAACGTAAAATATCTCGCTCCTTCAGAAATTGTATTACTGTAAAAAACAATAATTGACCTTCAAATAACCTTCAATATAATCTTAAAAAGTAAATCAACCATTGCTTTTTGACGGTAACACAGTTTTTGTCCTTGATTCTGAAAAAGCGAGAAATTTTTCGTTCGAATACGTAGTTGGTTTATTTTTTTATGGGAATCTTCAATGTCATTTGTAGGTTTTTTGATGGTGACACTGCACCGAAAGAGAATGTGTGGCATGAATCCATCCTACCCTATTCAGAGGTACCTTACACAAAACAAGAGTTGACCTTAAAATAACCTTGAACATGGCCTTCAAGGTCAAATCTAAGGCTACCAGATGGTGGTCCCCAATGACCCAAATAACTCTTGTAGAGGAAATTTCTACGATATGTCCTAAGAATTTCGAGAGGGAGATTTGACCTTCAGAAGACCTTGAAAATGACGTAACTCAACCACCTTTCTTCAGTACTGTAAAAACCAATAATTGACCTTCAAATAACCTTCAATATAACCTTAAAAAGTAAATCAACCATTGCTTTTTGATGGTAACACAGTTTTTGTTCTTGATTCTGATAAAGCGAGAAATTTTTAATTCGAATACGTAGTTGGTTTATTTTTTATGGTTATCTTCAATGTTCTTTGAAGGTTTTTTGGTAATGACACTGCTCTTAAAGGGGATGTGCGGCATGGATTCATCCTACCCTATTCAGAGGTATTACCTTAAAAAAAAAAACAGAGTTGATCTTGAAATAACCTTTTACATGGCCTTCAAGGTCAAATCCAAGGCCACCAGATGGTGGTTCCCAATGACACAAACAAGGGGGAATTTCTCCTGTATGTCCTGAGAATTTCGAGAGGGAGATTTGACCTTCAGATGACCTTGAAAATGAGAAATAATCCAACCGCGTCTCTAAACGTAAAATACATATCTCGCTCCCCCAAAAATTTTATTACTGTAAAAACCAATAATTGACCTTCAATATAACCTTAAAAAATAAATCAACCACGTCTCTGGTCGTAAAATTTTTTACTTTCATAATCCAGTGACAAAAATTGTTTAACCATAAAAAAAACAAGAGTTCACCTTCATATAACCTTGAATGTGACCTAACTTCCTCGAACGACGCCAAAAACACATTTTATAAATCTAAATCGTCTGTCCCCCAAAGGTTGCACCGCCAGAGCACCAGCATCAGCCGCAACGGAGTGTCGAGCAGGACGAACGGGTCCTCAAGGGAGTCGCGCAGCACCCGCAGCAGGACGCTGAGTCCTGGACCGTGCGTGTACTATCCCGCCAACCGATCCGGCAAGGAGATATGCGCCTACGGCGCCCAAGCGACCATCACGGCGTCGGAATGACAACAGATGGACGCCTCTTTGGTCTGAGTGAAGGGTTGGGTCGCTTGCCCCGGAGACGAATGCGGAGGGGAATAGTCGCGAAGGTAAGGGTACGCTGTCTATTAGTTTTTTTTGACGGAAAATAGCAGGAGGTCGACTGAAATGTTATTTGGCAGAGGAGAGATGTTATTTGAAAGATCATTTGGACTTAGATATGTACAAAATTAAGTAGCGCCTCGTAGAAAAAAGATAAAAAAAGAGAAATAACGTTTTAAAGCTTAGGTGGAACAGATTAAAAGAAAAATAATCATATTTCACCAACACCCATTTACACCCTCAAAATTGAGCCCCAAAATTATAATTTTAGAAAAAAAATTACATTTTTGCTCTCTTGTTTAAATAATTTTTTTTTCAAATGATACAAAACTTTTTTTCTAGTTTTTGAGATGAGGAATAAGAATACATTGTTTAAATTGTTTTAAAAAAAATTAGAACTCTTAAATTTAGAAAATTTTCAGTTGGTATATGATGTTTTTAGCTCTGATTTCCGCTCTTATGCAACGATTTGCTTGAAATTTGGAAAGTAGGTGCGGTATAGCCCAAGAAACAAAATACACCCTATGCTGATATATATTTTTACCCTGGGGGTGGTTTTTACCCCTTTGTAGAGGTTGAAACTAAATTTTGTCAAAATAATCGATAGAGCCACTAATTTCAAGCAAAAAATGTTATACAATTTTTTTGATAAGCCAATACTTTTTGAGTTATTTGCGATTAAAAACTCAATTTTGTCCATATCTAAGTCCAAATGGACGCCGTCTATACAATAAGGTTTTTGAGAAGTTTTATTTAAACTTAAAGTTTAAAAGAAAAGTAGCTAATGCGGATAATTCATGTCAACAGTAATTAATGGCATAAAGACAATTCATAATATTGTTGGTAAGGCAATGACTTAGGATAGTTAGAACATTTTTGTTGAACTCATCTCCAAAGTGTCCTTCCTGCATTATTCAAAAAAGAGCTTGAAGCAAATTTTTTATAATTCCGTCACCTTTTCCCCATAGAAATGCGTCAGTATTGTCAAGAGTGAAATGTTAGGAAAAATCAATATTAACGAAGTTCATGTCTGGAGAACACTGTTAACATAAATTTATGTACCAACCACTTTAGTGCATCCTATATTTCGAATCTATTAATAAATAAACAAGTTGCTTACATAAAATAGGAGACATGGTTTATAGGCCAAAAGTACGGACTGAAGCCGTAGTTTCAACCTATACAAACTTTTAAAATACGTTTGACACAGCGTTTTTTAAAATCACACTTTGCACCTCTACTTCTTTACATCAAGAAAAAAGTTTCGTTAGAAGTAATAAAACAGTTTATACAGGGTGTCCAAGATAAAGATGGGATAGCATTAGGATCTAGGAAACGGTAAGAGATACGGGGTGGCTCAAATTAGAAAAAGTTGTGTTTTTTATACCTAACAATATGCCGTTTAGAAAGTTTTAAAATTCCGGGTAGTTCCGGAGATATCCGGAAAAACTCGAAATTTTGCAAAATCGTTTTTTTCTGGCTTTATTTGAAAACGAATTTTAAAATAAATTGCATATTTACATTGCCACTTGTTCGCTCTATCTAATGGCGTCAACATTTTTGCAATCTGACGTACCCAGAATTTTCTATTTGGCGGAACTGAGGTGTTTTGTTTTATTTTTGGATTTACTAATACATATTTAGAGTAATCATTATTAAAATAACCAACACGAATTTCACATAATTGTCTGTGTTTATTGTATTTTTAAAACATGATATATTAACAATCGCAATCTATTTGGTACCTACAACATAGCATTTAGTTGTAGTAAATAAGTGATTTACTTCTTGTGGCTAAATTGGTTAAATAAATGGTTTAGTTACAGTAAACTGATTTTTCGATATTTATATGCAAGTGCACCCGTTTAACATGATTCTAAGTATACAGGTTGTTTCTTAAAGAAACATATTTTGTGAGCAACCTGTATTAAGGTTGCGATATAACCTACAAAGTGGGGTAATTTTCTCAATGCAATGAGTATTAATAATTAACAATTAATGGTGTTGTGGAAAGCTACTACTCTACGAACTACACCTCCATCCAACATTGTACTAGATATTGTGGGTGTAATTCAATGCCGGACAGAGCTGTAGTCCGCAGAATAGTTGTTTCCCAAAATATCGTTAGTTAAGCACTTGGAGTATCGCAATTTTTATATGAAATGAATTTTATCGCACAAATTGTGTATTGCTATATAGGGTGATTTATATGAACTAGGCCATAATATAATGGCAGGTTATTTATCATCGTATAAGTTACCAATACAATTTCAGGCTAGTCTGAGGTCATTAATGCTATTATTTCCATCCTAATCTCCAATATAAAGTAATTGTTCCGTGAAAGTATCACCAAATTCAAATAAATCACCATTTTAATTAATTTTGGGTCTCGTTTTGATTTTGACTTAATTTTCAAAGAAGTTCCTCCTGCTATATTTTGTCAAGCTAACGCAAATGCCAACATCAATATTGAGCAGAACATTTTTGCGTCTATAAATAAGAGTCTAGCCTAACATTGCTAACGCATGATTCAACTACTGCTCATATTGAAAACCAGATAGTTTGTGCATGTAAAAAATATATTAATGGTATTAAATCCAATGATAAATTAATTATTTCTATAACAAAAATAACAATGTGAAACTAAAGCAAGAAAAAACCGCTTCTAAATCTATATAAATTCTACGGTCTTATTGATATTATTGTCTCTAGGTTCTGAAGCAGCAGCTCTTAATCTTATCAGGGGGAGGACCAATCGGCGGTTATAAGAACAATCCAATCTAATAGATTAAGAATTGTGAATATTGTTGTCTTAGGGGAGCTTTTATTTTTTGAGGTATTGCAGTTGAATTCGTTCAGATAATTCTTACTACCCACTACAGTGTGCAGGATATAATTAAAATGTTCGTGAAAAAAAAAGAAAAAGAAAAAAATATAACAGTTGACATTTCAAATTATTGGCTGGAACCCTTATTACTTCTACATTTTTGTTAAAAAAATGTACTATGTATTGCCATTTATTTAGTTGATGTCAAACTTTGACCATTATTAGATAACAGGGTGTTAGTGAACTTATGTCAAATATTTTTGCCACATGTCCGTTTATGTCAAAATGAGGTAAATACACGGAGTAAAATGTAATTTTATAATCTGATTTACCTCAACATTGCAAGAAACCACCTTTTGAGAGCTGTTGATTTTCATAGAAGATGTTCGATGTACCCACCATTTGCTTGCACACAAGCTTCAGCGCGACGTATTCAATTCACTCGCACGCGTTGCAACATTGCCACGTTCTCTCAAATTATATTACAAGCTTCGTCAATACGATGTCATGTGTTGGTCGATGTCACTAACTTCCGTGGGATACAGGATATCTTGCATGGTACACTTAACAAGCTCTGTGGGCATTTTCCTTTGCTTTGCTATAAATTATGAGCATATCATAATATTCGCGATTACTAAATAAATGCGCCATTTTCAAAAGATAACTTGAAAATACGGCTATTAATGTACTCCCGAAAAACAGCACAGCAATCACTACAACAATGTACATTACATACATACTTACATACATACTACATACATACTTACATACTACAACAATGTACATTACATACATACTTACATACTTTTACTTTCGAATACAGTCCGGCTTCATAAGAAACCCACAAACTCGTAAAATGTGCCGCGATAAAATACATGTATTTCAGCAGTTCCAAAACAGTTTTAAACACATTTTTAATTTTTTTTTCTCTATGACCTTAATCTTACAACGTTACAAGTTTGTGACATCAGATAACTCAGTTTTTGCTCCTTTTTCAGCCCTTTAAATTTTTGACATAAGTTCATTAACACCCTGTATAATAAGATTACTTTAATGATTTCAAACCAAAATAAATAATGTAGTTTTCACCAAACTTGAGAACTTTACAAATAATGAACAGATTAAGATTTGTTTTTTTTTTAATTGTAAATGATTTTTTAGCAAAAATCCAAATTTTTACATGAAAAAGTTTTAAATATCGAAAAAAACAAAAAAAAAAAAAAGTTAATAGCTAGCTCAAACAAACACAATTATTTCCTCGCCTGCATTTGCGCTGAGCGAAAGCGATATAAATCCTGAAAATAGCACCGCCCTACAATCGTAACGTCCTTGTAACGTCGCTTTTAAAGGAACCTTAAAGGAATTACTCAACTCGGCGACGTATCCACTTTCTGTATAGCTTGGTAGGGGTCATTCGCGACTTGATTTACAGCCGTCGAGAACTGCGCTCGCTCCTAACTGGCTGGAGATAATGCTATTCCCGTGTAAGAACATTCCGGTGATGGACATAGCGACGGTAGTTTTTCTGTAACAAATGGTGGTTCTTTAACCGGGGTGCAGCGTAGATAAGGAACTACAGGACTCTCCTGATCGAATGCCTCAGTCGTTGTACAAAGTATACAGGATGTGAGAGATTTGATCTTGATAGCTTCGGAAGCAAGTGGAACAAGTGAAAATAAATGGATTTCGTCGTGCATTATGATTTATCTGAATGCGACGGAAGTAGAATGGTTGAAAGTGATTACCAGGGAATGTTAGCAAGAACACAAAAGATGTAAATAAAATAAAAAGTGCATACGTGAAACATCCGTATTTGACCAAAGTTGTGTGTTGATGTACTGCTAATCTTCTACCAGGGAATTTAGATGCTTGGTAGTAGTTAAACAGTGGGGCTACCAACGCACTTCAAGGTCAATCCAGATCCCCCACGCCCTCACCCCACTGACACTTCTTCAGCATGACCTTGGAGCTGCTGCTGGAGACCTGGTGCCAGCTTCGGATGGCGGCATCCCGGTGGTAGCCTGGAGTGACCTTGAAGTGCTTTGGTAGCCCCACTGTTTAACTACTCTTGGTGTCATCAATCTGAATATGTAAAGGC